GCATTAGGAGTTTTCACCAAAGCAAGCTTTTTGTCTTCAGGTTTGTCTACGAAGCAACAAATGATCACTTTTCAGTCATTTTGCTCAATTATAACAAAATGGTTGAACAGAACAAGGCAGATAATTTCTCACATGCAAGCCAGGCCCAACCGGAGCCAAATTGTGTTGCTGCAGCTGCCTTAAATTCTTTAACAAATGTATCATAGGAACCAAAGTCTCTGTTTATTAGTTCTAATAATTCACCAGATGGCTCTCCTCCTCCGTTGGGCTTCATAGATTCCCAGAAGAACTGATGATTCCAGGCCTGTAATGCAAAAGAAGATATAAAAGGACTCTGCATTACACAGAACAAAATAGCGAAAAGTGTTAATTTACCTGAGCAGCATTGTTGAATGCTGGAAGGGGAGCACCTTTGTTATATGTAACAAGTATTATATCTTCTAGTGTCTTTCCATCTAATTCTGTTCCTTCTATTTGCTTGTTTAAGTTGTCGACATACGCCCTGTGATGCTTCCCCCAGTGGAATTCAAATGTTCTACTACTCATATGAGGCTCCAAAGCATCCTATAACATATTCAAAGTTCAAATCAAATAAAGAAAAAAAGAGTCCGAGGGAGAGAAAGGGAGCTATGGGGAGTAGACATTAGACTAATTAATTTGCAGAATTTTCCATTCTTCTACAAATCATATACTAGTAATTAACAATGACATGATTATTTCAAGACAAAAAACTAATTATAACTACAGCAACTACTACTACTATGCTTCAAATTTCAATCCCTAACTATTCAAGAGTCAATTATTATATCAAAAATTTTTGTATCCAATTTTCATTCAAGTATTCAAACAATTGAGTCAAAACTCAGCGGCGTAAAAAAACACTAGGTGATTCTTTCCATCTATCCTAGACTTGCTGGACAGAGTTACCTGCTAGCTATTGCCGGTGGGAGATGACAGATATCCGTAAAATTAGTAGAGGTGCATGAAAACAGACCCAGACACATCATTAAAAAAATACACATAAAAATTACCACTGGATAAGGAGGAGGGTTGAGGTCAAATTTAGCTGTTATTGTAGCAGAGCCGGTTTTTCTTCCAAACTGTTTCTGCAACTAATACATAAAAATCAGAAGAAAGCTCCAACAGATAGTGATACCTAATTTAGGAACATAAAAATTAAAAAAAGAAGGCAAGAACTACCTTTTGGGTTCTCCATTGAAAGCTTTTAGATGATCCATTAAGTCCTGTAATATTATTCAAACAAGGTAATTTTGTGTCCCAAAATGAAAAAAAGAAAAGAAAAACTAGTAGAGTAAAAAGTTAACCTTGAGGAGGAAGGAAAGCAGATGTGAGTGAATTAGCAGAGGCAGTGGCGGCCATGAGTTGTGATTTGCGTAAAAAAGGTTACAGAAAGTTGGAGAAAAAAGCAGTGTGGAGTTTTCTAGACTAGCAATGCCCTTTTGTTGATGTAATTGTTGGATGTTTTCATAGTGACTGCGACTGCCATTTCATTCTGGTACTACCAAGTGTGTAGTACACACTCTACTCTATGTAGTACACTTTAACCAACCCTATTAGAGATAGAGAATACGCGAGAGTTAATTAATTTTCTTTTATATGTAAAATATTTGAAGTTGTTAATTATATCGTTGTTATGAGGCCAATTTAAATAACCAAGTATATAATAAAGTTTTCTTTTTAATCGTCAAAATCTGTAAATATTCATGAATAGCTATGGTTTTACTTCTTAAAATTATAGCAAGTGAAATAGAATTATAGTTTATTTTGTTAAGGACAAGTGTAATAAACAAATAAGTAATCGAGTGGATATATGCTTTTCAGAAACTGAAGAGACACAAGCTATGGTCCCTGTATAATTTTTTAAGCTTGTGGCCTGCACGATCTCACTGCATACCACAAGAACAACATTGAGAATAACATGGTACGTAGTTTCTGTAAATTATTACTTTCAAATTATTTATTGTTTTAGAAGTTCAGAATAAAAGCAATTTTCCTTTTTCATTTTTTATATCTTTAGAAGTAATTATTTTGAAGACTATAAAACACTTTTAGGACATCTCCAACTCAAATATCAAATTTTACATCAAATTTGGTGTTAGCACTATTTTTCTTTCTCTTCATTATTATTATATTATTTCTTATTTCATTTATATTTTCTTATTTCATAAAACAAATTCTTTTTAAAACATTCGCCATATATAGTTCATATTATTTCCTTTTATAATCGTTTAATATAAAATTATTTTGTACCATAATTTTTTAAATAATATAAATTGCTAGCAAATATTATACATTATACATAATAATGGATAATACATATATAAGTGAAATCATTAATGAAATACAATTAAATAAACATTACATAATTGAAAAAAATATTTTAAATTCTACCCGCAGCCACTACCCTTTGGGTGCGCACAGGGTAAAACCTCCGCTCCTATACAATAGCTCGCAAACTATATAGGAGAGGTAACCCACACTAGGCAAGCCCGGTGCGACGAGCTCGACCCAGAAGGCAAACCCCTTACTTTCGCTGGCAAGGGGTTTCGAACTTGAGTCCTCCAACATGGAAGTCCCAAGCCCAAACCACTGGGCCACCCTTTGTGAAGGTTAATTGTAGTTATATCCAATTATAATTTATAGTAGAATTAACATAAATTTAATTTTAAAAAAAAGTCATATTTAGAAAAATTAATTTATAAAAAAGCTAAATTTTATATCTAAAATTAATATTTTAAAAATATTACATAAAGAATAATTAAATATACAAGAGATTTAATTATAACATACAATTTATATAATGTTTAATTAAAAGTTTGTATGATGAAATAATATTAAAATATTTAAAAAAAGTGAATTGGTGTGATGAATACTGTTACATCAAATTTGGTGTAACACTATTCACACACCAAATTTGATGTGAAAATTGATGTGGGTTGAAGATCAAAACATCAAATTTTTAAATTTGCTATAAAATTTGATGTTGGATTGGAGATGATATTATAAGATGGCAATATATGGACCGTGATTATGTTCCAACTCAACTTTCGTCATATGATACCTTTCCATTAATTGACGGTTAACAATAATATGAGCTTGACACTTTATTTGAGTTTAAGAAATATTTTAGCTTGATATTTTCGTTGATCATCCCTGCGAATACACTCCATGAATTTGGCGGACCCACATTGATGGTTCCGGGTAGGGATGTCAAATGGATGGGTTGGGTTGAAATTGGAGATATTAAAATGGGTTGAAATAGAAATTGAGTTGGGTTTTTCCCCGCCCAAGTTTAGTTTGGACTCAAATGGGTTGGGTTCAAATGGGCTTAAAAAACGGGTTGGGTCTTGACCCGTCCAATTTGACCCGATTAATCTCAATAATTTTAACATAGTGATATTTAACTTTTATAATCACAATGCGAATTTCAGCCCAAGATTTTTTTTAAAAAAGTAACAAATGGATTCCTAGATAAATCCTAAAAGATGTTAAATAGATAATAATTCATACCTTTAATATAAGAACATATCTTAGTACAGAGTTTTAAAACAGGTTGAAATTGGAGATTGAATTGGGCTCAATTGAGGATTCTCTTAAAATTGGTTAGGCTTGAATGAGTTGAGATTGAACCCAATTCAAATTATCTTGAGCCCAACCCTTAAAATTCTGGGCGGGTTGGGGGGTTACCTATGTTTGAGTTCATTTTTGACACCCCTAGTTTCGGGTGTTTGAGCTCCCATTAATCTCATATCGAATTATATATATTTATATAAAATTTTTAATGAATGATAGAAAATTAAATAGTGAGCAGCCAGACAATTATAAGCAGTTGCGTGGTTGTTTGTGGGTGCTCAAAGTTGTACATTGTATCTTCTGTGGCTATTTTTTAAATTTTGCAGACCAACTCTTCTTGGAGCACCCACAACTAGGGGTGTGTATCTGTCAGTTTGGTTCGGTTTTAAGTATTATCGATTCGGTTTATCGGTCTTCGATTTTTAAATATGCTAAATCGATAACTAAACTAATAATATATTTGTTATCGATTTTCAATTTTTAAATATGCTAAACCGATAACTAAACCAATAAGATATTTGTTATCGGTTTTTGGTTTATTGGTTTTTGTTCTTTAACAGTTCGGTTTTCAGTTTAACCAATAACAAAATATTTTCAAAACAAATATATGACTTGTCCAACAATTTGACGCGAAATAAAAAAGATAGAAATCAAATTACTGATTGAGTGCAAAAATTCTACTTAGTATAGTAAAAGTATAACAAATACTCACAATTCACAATCCTAGTTCTTGTCTAACCTTTGCCGTCGTCGTTGCAAACCCTAGCCATCTTCGTTTTCAGTTCCTTAAGTTTTGACGTTGTGAACCTAAAGACTAAAGTAATACTAAAATCTAAAAGGTAAATGCAGATAGCAAAGTTAAGTAGTTTTAATTGTGTAGGATCCTTATAGTTATAGTCTAATATAATGATTATATTTAAAATATTTTGTTTGATATTTATGTATGACTAAAAATTAAAATAGTAAATTAATATATTCTTAATGGGTTATCGATTAACTCAATAACCCAATATTAAAAAATCAATATCAAATCGATAACCCAATAATTTTTTTTTATAAAATCATTAAATAACCATTAACCCAATAATGCAATAACAATAAACCAACAATACTTTTTTTGGTTTGATTTATTGATCGATTTGATTTTTGCACACCTCTATCCACAACCTTAAATTCCTAGATCCAACACTGCCATAAAGTATGTAGTCTTCTGTGATAGCACATAACTTAGTTAGAAACTAGATATACGTACATGCCAAGACAATTACTGTCATGTATTACTACATGCATATATCATCTCAACAACAACTACAAAATTGTTACAAATATATTATACTTTTAACAATTTAATTTATTTGAAATCATCAACTTATAAGGTTATTGATAAACTCGAGAGACAAAATTAATTAATGGGAAACAAAACTACATTTTTTCCAAAGATTGTCACTATTTATCCAGACTGCAGTTTTGTTCACTCCCTTCATCTCAGGACTATCAATAGTAGACTCAATGATAGTGTGATGGCATTTCTTCCCCAATGTCAAAAGTTGGGCACAACACTCGTCCACATCGGTGTACTTGCCATTATCGAAGATCTTGTTGAATATGATCACCCCACAATCATCTGAAATATTTTGCAAACATTCCTTCACTTCTACGTGAAATTCAGGGTGTGACTCGGGTGATAATGTTGGTTTATAGTCAGGATTTGAATATAGTGGAGAATTAAGTAAATCTTTAGCATAGTCGTTGATATCGTCATATATGTCTAAACCATATGAATCTTCGATGGCTAGTCCTATTGGTGTCACAATAAGAAAAAACAAGGAAATTAATGCAACAATTGCAAGAATATCATCTACAAGTCTTATCAACTTTGTCATATTGATGTCTTTGAGAAATATTGGAATGGAATAGAGATGAAATGGTTAATTAATTTGTGAGTACATTTAATAAACAAGGAGTTGAAGGATTAAAAAAATAGTAACGTCAAAGTTGGTAATTTTTTAAGACTATAAGAGATGAATGAATGTCTCATTAATTAATTTTCACATAATTTCCCTTCACTCTTTAAATGAATTTAGACATCTTTTAGAAATAATGTAAAATAATAAAGGCTAGCTATGTTCATCTGTGTTAGGCTATAGCATGAGTTTGACGGTTTTGAACTCTAGATATAATAATTAAAATGAACTGCAATAAATAAACTAAATAAAGATATATTTTGGTTTCGAACTCTAGATATAATTAAAATGAATTGTAATAAATAAACTAAACAAAGCTATATATAAATAACAGAAAAGGATAAAAAAATATTCTCAAACTAATTCGAAATAGCTTATATTTACTTTTTATTGATTTTTGGTTTAAAAAATATCTTTTTTATCTATTTTTGGACCATAAATACCCTTATGACTAACTAATGTCCACATAAACTATTTAGATCGCAGACATCACAGTTCACTATGGCAAAAAAGGGAGCAAAATTGCTCTCGAACATTACATTTTCCTTAAAGATCACCAGAGTGCAACTTCCTCACTCCGTTTACACACTAATACACACACACACACACATACATATATATATATATATATATATATATATATATATATTAAAATAAAAAAAAAGTTACCTATAAACTATATTCAACAAGTAAAAATAACCTACCATAATAGTGTATAATTTTCTTATGCTTCTGATTGGTTACTGAAGTTTAAAGTGAAAAGTAGCAAAAAAAGAAATTCAAATGTCTAGCGGTAATAAATATACACAATAATCGAGAGGGTTAAAGCCTTTTACCTCTTATAAAAAAGAGTATTTTTTACTATCAAAATGTTTTTTAGCGGTAATAAATAGAGAGAGGGCTAAAACCTTTACCTGCATTAGTTATTTGTCATTAGATTCAATGCCGCTAAAGGCTGTATGGACATTTACAAAGACACTAATTGCCCCTAAAAATATATTTTTACTGACAATTAAGCTATTAATTTATTGCCACTAAAAAATATTTTTGGTTAGTAATTTTCCTCCAAACAAGAAAATACTTGGACGGAGGTTCAATAACACAACTACTAATAATTTGCCTATAAACTCTCGAACACAAATCAATATGATTATTCATATATTTATACGATCTAGGCTCTAGCAATAAGAGTTGTTATAACTCTAATTCTATAGCATCCAAAAGTTCACTCTTGATATACAAAAAACTCATATTCAAATAATTCTAAGTTTGAATTAATCAAAGATTACTACATCTTTATTCTTAATTATATATAATCTTATTATAACTTCTCAAATTATTAATCCTTAAAACCCAAAACTCACAAATGAAAACCCAAACACATGAACAAATGGTAGTAATTATCATATTCTCTAAGATGATCATGAGGTGTTATTTAATTTTATGTATTAAAAAGTTAAAGATAAAAATTAAGTTAACTTTATTTGCAATTTTTGGTATGTTTTCAAGAGATCGAAATCCCCCCCCCAAATAAAATAAAATAAAATAACCGTATAATTGATATTAAGTAATTTATTTTATTTGTTTTCTCTTCTTTATTTATTTGTTGTTCTTATAACAAATTAATTGAGTTCAACTCAAACGGTGGTTTCTGCTTATTCGTCCACTCACAATCATGTCCAACGATATTTGAAGAAGGTACTAATTAAAAGAAACCTTTTTCTCCTCAAATTCAAATTTCACGAAAATAAAGGATATACATTTATAATTTGAAAATAATTTTAAGACGTTAGTGCTCTGCGATGACAAGAAATATTAGTCCAATAGGTTATCATTCATCAATTCACACTTATATTTTCCTCCTACGATTTTCATCACATACATACTTCATATTATTTATATCATTTTAAAATATTAATTCTACTGATTAGTATGAGATACACGTATAACACACGTATTCAAGAACTAATATTATTAAAAGTTGAAAACCTCAAAGTAAAAATTGAATTACTAAAATGTCCTTACATTTATATTTATGATGTTTTTTGTCTTTTTTTCCCTCTTATTTTGCCTTTTAAAACATTTGCTGATATTCATTTCTCAATTAAAAAACATTTTTAAGAAAACAAAGTCTTACAGTTTTCTAACCCTTTCATTTGTTAAGAGTTTTTTTTTTCTGTAACTCCTGCCTTTTTATTTTTCCCTATACTAAATGAAGAAGTGATTCAATTCCATTTAGTAGAGAGAAAAATAGTTCGACCACTTTTTTCTTTTACAATTTGTACCAAAACAAGTGAAAGGTCTACTTCATATGAATAAATGCACACATCCTAATTTTCGAGTTAGGAGTAAAAAGTTGTCTGGAATTAAATATGTTGATGTGGTTTAATTATTGGTTAGTCCTCTGTTTTAACTTTCAAGAAATTGAAAGGAGGGAGAACTCCATTAATAATCCTTTAGCATACTTTATGCATTTACATTTTGAGAAAACTATAACTCAACTAGAAGTTAATTTTTGTAAAAGACTGGGCATGCCCAATCTTGAAACTTTTGAAGAGGATAGGCATTTCATAACTCTAGTAACATGTGTTTCGTTATTGGTTATTAATATACGTGGTAGGCGTCATGCCTCATCCATCCTGAAGGTGAATTTAACTTTTTTTAAAAAGCGTTACTATTTTTTATTTTTTTTTGAGTTCAATATATTTTAGTGTTTAGTCTAGCTATTTAGTCTCTAATATTACAACGTCAGAAAATGAATTAGGGTGTTAGTTATAACTTTGAAAAGATAAACCTCACATCTATATGTTATTAGGTTTTTGATATTCAATTATAATATATTTTCTCGTATTGAGCACAAGGCATGATTGTTCGATGGAAAACTTCTCCATTATTTAGCATTTTCATCTCCAAAATTTTTGTGTGTTTATGCTTTTGAAATGAGCTTATTTCCGTAAATAATTACCATGTCCACTTGTAGAAGTGTTTTTTAAGTGAAGAAATTTCGATTCTTGACCACTTACAAAGTGAAAAAAAAGAAGAAAGGTTTTTCAAATCTCTTATATCTAGCTTCTAATTTAAAGATTTAGAAAATTAACAGAAAATTTATAAACTACGTGGATGCAAAAGTTATCAAATTAAAATAAAAACCAAATCAAACAAACCAAACTGTTTTCTATTTCAAAACACAATATCTATGTTTTGATACCATACAAGAACTATTAAAGTTGCATTAATAATAGGCATATGCAACATAATTTATATTCTTGCTTGCTTGCTTGAATTGGTGCAAGTTGTTCATTCTACTAAGTTTTTAATATATAAACTAGTATAACATAATTCCTGTTGCAGCTGTTGGACACCTGCAACTACCTCTCCACTGTGATCCAATCTGTTTCCTCAAATCTTCCATCCCCTACTGGTTCCTACAAATTTAATTTAGAGAATATGTAGGGCATACATATATTAATTATATGATGAAGGTATGAAATGAGTTTAAATGAAGAAGTGCGGATTTCACATCAGTCTATAAGTTATTGTATAGATTTACTAATATGAATATGAAGATTAATCGTTACCTGCAGCAGCCATATCCTCTGCGTTGACCGAAGCCATCTAGAAATCATAATGTTAATAGTTACTTTTCATACTAGATGTTCGAAAAACAGTTGAGTATTCTTTCAAATATGACACAATAAAAAAATGTCTTACCGCGACATTTTCATTTCTCTGGAGAAATTCCTGGTTAGCCAAGAGTTTTGCCTGGTTAGAAGAGTATAAAACATGATCATGCCGGTCTTAATTCAACCAACAAATTAAATTGGTACCATTTTGTGTATGTGTGTGTGTATTGGGATGTAAGTTTATTCGGAGTCTTTAGCCCTAATAAAAATACAAGTAAAAAATGCATTTGCCTTGAGATATATATGCTCACTTTGGATCGTTGAATCCGTTCCATAGCACCCAGAAGATACTGATTATATGCATCAGCTTCTTCAACTGTGTTGATATTCTCCACTTGTGGCTCGTAAGAACTGCCCGATCCAAGGGAACAAATCGTTATAAAAGATCGACGACATTTTTTAGAATATCCAAAAATAGAGTGAAGAACTCTTCAACCTTATTTTCTCCTGTGCTTCACTTAGTGTTTGTTTGACCTCATTAAGCTTCTCCATATGAGCCTATTATGAAAATATATTAAAAAATTATCAAGTTACGAGTTTTTAGTAATAATAAATATAGGCTTATAATTACTGACTGAAGCACTAGTGTGGAAACATCAAACCTTACCTCGACACTAAAGCACGTTGTCCAATCATCAGCATCATAAAAAAATACCCAACAAAATTATTCAATCACGTAGAAAAGTACCTCACAAAAAAAGAAATAAATCAAAAGAAAAGAACTCGAGAAAAGTTGAGTGTCTGTCATACATAGCAATCTTTTCAATCATTTTTCTTTCAGATTTTGATTTCGCGAGACTCTGCATCAAATGCTGCAAAATAAAAGTCATCAGATGAAACTCCAACGATCAGTAAAAGATGTGTAAAATTTAGTACCTCTTCATCTGGATTTGGAGTGGATCTTCAACAACAACAACAAAAAAAAAAAAAACATTTGAGTTAGTCAGTCTAATTCATGAATTTGACATATTGAAATAAACATACCGTCGATTCAGTTCATCAGGCTGCTTCATTGCATTGATCATGATATCCTCAAAACTGAGCAATCAAAAGAAATCACATCACATTTTGTATCATAGAAACATAAAAGATCATTCTAGAAATTTCATTAACCTTTCTCCGCTAGAATAGGTGGTCACTTCACCAGTTGGAGAAAACATTAGCAGTGCAATATCTGTATCACATAAAACCCCCAACTCATTTGACTTCTTAACAATGCTACCCTTGCGCTTTGAGTAAAACTGTTCACGGGCACCTGGATCCTCAATTTTCTTCATTACAATCTTATTGCGACCCATGAAATGAAATGATGCAAACTAGAATTGGAAGTTAGATTCAATGTTATTCTTCAATGAACTCAGAAATATATAGATCAACAAAAAGAAAAAGGAAAAAAATAGCTCAAAGAATTTAATGCAATAACATGCCATTTTTAAGTTAAAGCAGTTAATATGTTACAATCTAATAGACAATCAGATAATTTTTTTTTTTAGAAGAAAACGACTTTCAGTGCTAATCTTTAGTCAAAAATAGTGTTTTTTTACATATCCACACAATTAATGAACAGAAATCTGTGGGCGGTAACTTGTCGAGTGGAAAACAACAATAACTCCTAAGCTCCTTCTTTCACATAATGATATTAGACTAGTCTTATTTATCACTTTTCCTAAAATTTTAAAGGCAATTTGATATAATTTTAGTGTATAGAAGAATTTATATTTTGATATCTCAAATAAGTACAAGGTGTATGGGAAAATTACATTTAACAGAACTAAAATAATACTCCCTCTGTACTAATTTATGTGACATTTTTCGTTTTTCGAGAGTTAAATAGTTTAAGTTTGATCGAGAATTTATATATGAAATCTACAAATTTTTTGAAGTGAAATTTATATATTTATAAGCTACTTGTTTTTCGACACGTGTGTTGCACGTGATTATCAATTCAGAAAATTTAAGCGAAGATTTGAATAATAAGCTTTGCACAAAATAATATTGCAGATTCTTTTGTGAATGTTCAATGTGGATCATCATATATATATATATATATCTTATTCACACGAACCTATGAAGATGGTCAATGAAAAATTTTATTAGTTAAATGCAATAATGTATATATTTATTCCAATTTGATGAGGTTCAATCATGTAATTAGTCGTATCTTATTAATATTACCTTATAGACAATATTTGTTGTGTATTTTTCTTGTCATCTAACCAGATGTGTTGTGCACGGGTATTCCACTTAATCTATTTAGATGTCATATGAATATGTGGAGAACAACTACATTTTATTTCTTAGAACTATTTATGTATATTAATTTTTATTTTATAAGTTATAACATAATAGATGACGTTCTTTTTGTTGTCTCTCATATTTGACTTCTCGATTGACTGTGTACATAAATCAAAGACAATTATCTGATTGTCCATAGTTAACTGAGAAAAGTTTCATTTTTTTTACCGAAAAAAGCTAAAAATTAAAATTAAAGAAAATATTCTATCTGTGAAATCATATATATAATAACTTGTTTATCTTACACCCAACAAAGATATAGTTCATATACTTGTAATGAATTTTCAAATTATTCAACCAAGCATGATTTGTCCAAGAAAAAATAACAACACCGTTTTATCACATATATTGGCATGGTATAATAATATGAAATTTCCTTCATTCGAACCCTGAAATACCTGATTCAGTATAGCATTGATATCTAGAAATTGAATACTTATCCGAAATCCCGGCGGCGATTTAGGTTTTTTTTTCCAGGCATGCTGCCGGAAGACGGCCGACCATCGCTAATGGATAGTCTGGCTACTGCCTCTTCATCCAATTTCCCACCCCTTCCAGGTAAAACACAACCCACTCTACACCCACAATTGCCCACATCCCCTCCTAGGAACAGGTATGCTGATATTATTAGAGGTCATGGTGCAAATTACAAAGAAAAAGTTGATGTTGCAGTAGATCCTATTCCTATGAAGAAACCACACCTCATTGATGGTTTACCTACCATTCATTGGCGGCAAAATAAATACAAAGAATGAATATTATTGAGAATTTGCAATATGCTGTGGTTGGAAAATTCTCATATGGAGCTTCTGAGATTAATGAAATAAGAGAACTAATCCCAAAACAATGTGGAATCATTGGGGGATGTCAGATAGGTTATCTGAGAAATAGGCATATTCTAATGAGATTTGACTGTATTGAAGACTACATTAAAGTATTATCTAAAGATTCGTATTACATAATTGCTAAGGATGGTTATGCGTATCAAATGAGGCCTTTTATTTACGATGCCAACTTCAAGGTTAGTGAGGAAACATCACAGGCAACTACGTGGATTTCCTTTCCAGACTTACTTCTAACTTTCTTTGTGAAGGAAGTTTTGTTCTCTCTTGCGTCTGTTGTTGGGAAGCCTCTACAGCTAGATCTTGCTAAAATAAATAAGACTCGTCCAAGTTGTGCTCGAGTGAAGGTCCAATTGGATTTACTTACTGAGAAACCTGAATTTGTGCAGATGCAGTTAGAAAATAATGACAATCAAGAGAATTCAGTTGTTAAAATAAAGATACAATATGATTCATTGCCTGCTTATTGCAAGCAGTGTAAATTACAAGGGCATACAGAAGATGATTGTAGAGTACTACACCCAGAGTTGGTGCAACAACACAATGAGGATAGGCCAAAAGAATCACAACATATTGACAACAAACAACTCTATAAAGGGGCTATAAAAAGTAAATGGAAACCTACTAATAGAACATTTACAAAGAGAACTGGAGAAATTATGAATGTTAAAGTAGTGGAAGTGCAGAGGTCACTAGCAATATCATTCCTTTTAATGTTCTGATTCAGAAAAATCAAAATGAAGAGGAGGCCATAGAGGTAGGAGCTTCAAATAAGATGCAACATGGAGGGGAGCTGATTAATAAGGTGAATTTACCAAAAAGTCAAACCAACAAAAAAGAGGTTGCTTTGGAGGAAGTAGACATGGAAGATGGCGAAATAACTGAGAACAAGGTGGAAGAAGAAGAGGTTGATGATGTTGAGGTTGTGTTGAATACTACAATAAGTGAGACAAATGATGTGAACAAGGAGGAAGAGAGGGATGATGGCGGTGAAATAAATAAGCAGCAGTTGATAATTGTGGACAGTGACTTAGAGCTTGCAGATGATCACATTCCTTTATAGATTATGAAACCAAAAGAAGATTGGCATCCTTCACCGTTACAGGGGTAACATCTAAAAAGTGGTGGAGAGGAGGATCACAACATTCTGACTGTCGTTTGCCCTAAGTCACAGCCTGTCCAGATGTTACATGATATGGTTTCTCATCAAGGTTCTGGGGAACAACAAGTCGCACAATTCATTGAGAATGGTGCAGCAGAAGATAAAGATGAAATAGATTCGTTGCAACCTGATAACAAGCGCCGCAAAGGGTTGACAGGGCAGCTCGACTGGTAAAAAAGGAGATGGTATCGATAACAGAGTGTTTAAAGAGGCAGGATTAACACCTTCAACATCAAGCAAACTCAAAGGTAAAGGTGAAGGTGAAATATTACCTACAAAATCTAATCCAAAGAGAGGGACAAAGAGTGGATCGAAATGATGATGAAGACTTTGTTTTGGAATGTGAGATCAGTCAGATCTCAAAATTCATTCCACAGAATACAAATGTTACACAGACATCATAAGTTTTCTATCATAGCTTTGATGGAGCCTTTTCAAAGAACTAACAACATTCAAAGATTCAAAAGGAGATTGGGAATGAAGTATGCTAATCATAATTGCAACGAAAAGATTTGGGTGTTCATTTCTGATCAAGTCCAGGTAGAGGTTTTGCCAGACTCTAAGCAAATGCTGACTCTTAGTCTGAAGTTTCTGGAAAATAATCAATTTTTTGTTGTTTCTATGGTATATGCAAAGTGTGATGCTGAGGAGAGGTTAAATTTGTGGAATGATATTTACTGCATTAGTAATGATATTAACAATTCACCTTGGCTTATTGGGGGAGGATTTTAATGTCATTATGAGTGAGGTGGAAAAGATTGGGGGTCTGCTTGTATACCCTGATGAATATGAAGACTTTGCTTTTTGTGTAAACTCCTGTGAGCTGGTGGATGTCAATTTCAAAGGAAGTTCTTTTACATGGTGGAATGGAAGGATATATAATCAGTGTATTTTCAAAAGGCTTGATAGGTTCTTTATGAATCAGGCATTTATGGGAAAATTTGGGATAATGGAAGCAGAACATTTAGCAAGAAAATGGTCTGATCATGCTCCTATGTTGCTTAATTGTGGTCAACAGAATCATTATATCAAAAGACCTTTCAGATTTGTCAAATTCTGGACAGAAAAAACAGATTTTCAGCAGATTGTAAAAGAAAGTTGGGTGTTATATGAGGTGGATATGTTTATAAATTGGAAACAAAAAATGAAGAAGACTAAAGCTGCCTTGTCAAACTTGAGTATGTATCTTTTGGAGATATCTTCAAACAATTATCTATTAGGGAGGAGATTGTTAGAATGAAGGAAAAATGATTTAAAGCTGCCCCTATTGCTGATAATAGAGGAATACTACATCAGGCTCATGCAAAATTAAAGAAATATGTGCATTTTGAAGAAGAATATTGGAGACAGAAAGCAAGTATTCAATGGTTTACAGAGGGGAAAAAAATACAAGGTTCTTTCACAGTCTAGTGAAGGGTTGGAGAAAGAGGTTAAATATTAACAGAATTTAGAATATGGGAGGAGTATGGGTGGAAGGAGTGGAACAGGTAGCCGGAGCTGCTCAGGAGTTTTTTCAAAAGCAATTCACATGCCATCATAATGGTGATGATGCCTCTTTATTGAGATATATTCATCCAAGTGTTAATGTAGGGGCCAACAATAAACTGAATGAACAACCTATAAGAGAGGAGGTAAAGAAGACTATGTTTGATCTTAATGGAGACAGTGCAAGTGGCCCTGATGGTTTTTCTAGGTATTTTTATCAGCATTGTTGGGATATTGTTGGTGATGATGTAGTTGCTGCGGTTAGTGCCTTTTTTAAAGGGGACACTCTTACTAAGTCTATTACTCATACTAATTTGGTTCTTCTTCCTAAAAAGGACACAGTTCAGTCCTTCTCAGACATAAGACCAATTAGTCTAAGTAATTTCATTAATAAAGTAATTTCCAGGGTGATGAATGATAGAATTGGGATGGTACTTCCATCTTTAATTTCCCAGAATCAATTAGGTTTTGTGAAGGGGAGGAGTATCACTAAGAATGTTTTATTGGCCCAGGA